GCCATCATTAGCTCTTGGAAATTCTACCATTAAGAACGGTTCCATCAAGGTGTATAATAGGGATTATGGAGTTTCGATCGAGAATTTCTAATTAGTATTTAAGTTGGTAAGTCAGGTAATTGACAGTTAAATACGGTTAACTTAGTAATGGATTCGGCTGAATTAATAAGGATTTATGTAATCTGTAAATCACGCCTACTATTTTGATACGATCAAAATGCCAATGCCTCCTAAAAACTTCGTGAGACTACCATTAAATTTCGGCTCCTACTCGCGTACAGTGACGAAAGTAATTATTCTTGTATTTAGCTAATTTAAATTTAATGGAATTTTTAGTTCTGCAACTTGAACAAAGCCTCATTTAAAGTACGAGCGAAACGAGAGTACAAGAGAATATACATTTATGCTTCATGATGTACATACTAAAAAACTTTTAATTAACTTGAGGAGATAATAAATGGAAACAAAAACGCTGCTCGATTTTATATTGCCAGCCTTTACAAATAAGGGGAAAAGGTAATTTTGATAATAATTGAGTAAAAGTTGTCAACAAAATTGAGGAAATTTGGGTTATTTCTGGTACTTTGTATGCAAAGGGTTTCGCCTCATTTACTGGTGGTAGTATGAAGTAATAAATTTACGCTTTTTCCGTGCAGACACATATTTCAGGAAATTATGTTCCTTTCAGAAAACTACTCATAGTGAAGGCTCTATCACGTATAACTTGAATGGGTAGCGTCAAGGCGTGTTTTCACAAAAGGGGGAATTTATCGAAGATAATTTTGTGTAAATCGTTTGATTGATGTTTCTATAATGTATCCGAAATTGCATGAAATACGTTACCGCAATAAACCCTTAAAGAAGATTAGCGAAAATTCTAGCAATCCCGTATATATCTGACAATGGTAACCTTAAGGAATGCAAGGGTATAAATTGTGCCCAGTCTTCTAACTACTCTCCATTTATTATCCGCGGCTTCTAGAATTTCTCCGCCTCGAAAAGCTTGACTAATGTAAAATATGATTATGATCTAATCTCCTCCGAGGCGCACTTCTTTCAAAGTTCTGATTAAGAAAAGAAAGAAAATTAAAAATGTATGAGCGTAATTTAGATCATCTCGCGTAATTATTTCGGTGGTATCGCGCTCATTTCGAACCTAAATGAATCATTTCTTTAGAAATTTTACTGCGGACACTGAAAAATTAAGAGTTGGAGGGAATACTAAAAGTTCTTTATGCGTTAGCAACCGCTTGGAAACAAGAGCTTAATTATTGATTCTTACCGTTATACCTTCTTTGTTGCGTCAACCGATAATTTATTTCCTCCTCATTTATTTTCACCGCGAAGATTTCGAATACTCATCGGAGCGTTATTCCACAGTTGTTAATTTAAAAATCAATCTTACCCAAAATCCCATTAACCGATAAATCCACAAATCGAGACTAGTTGTACTTAGGGCGTAAGTGTCACGAAAAACTACATGCTCGTCATGAAGGTGTTCAATTTGAACAATAGTGTGAATGGCATACATTTGTGTTGTGAGGACTGTATAAGAAGTTTAAAAAAATATTCGTTCACAAACATCTTTGAGTTCCAGAAAAGTTGCCACGGAATATTCACCTCTAAGAAAACTCTTCCGTAGGTATATTCGCCACCGGAAGATTTGTCCTCGAAATATTCGCTCTGGAAAATTCGGTACCGTGGGATTCGTCCCAGGAGGATTTGCCTAGATAATCAGCAAGGTGCTCCCATTCTTCCATTGAGCGGGTTCTTTGTCATGCGAGAAGTGCCTGACTGTTCCTTCAAGACATGCTTGACCTAAAGGAATGGATGACGCCAGACGATTGTCGCAATGTTCATGAGGGGAATTATGAGATTTTGATAGTTGTGAGTTTTAGGGTGTGGTTAGCCGCAAATTAATGGTCTGGAATTTTGAGTCCAGGGCTGAGAAACGCGAACTCACCAATTTTGAAATCTGGCGATGATCTTTATTAATGATTGGTTAAGGGAACGAAGTCTATTGGATAACGAATTAAAATTCCCCCTTTAGCCTACGAGATTTATTTTGTAAGCGTGTAGAAAATTAAAAAAAAAGGACAGAAAAGCGTCTAGGGGAATTTTAGAGCGGGAATAGTCTTGTCAGAGTTTAAGTAAAAGAAACCATAAATTAAGATTAGCGCCAAACCGTCCGTAAATCCAAAAATAGAAGGGATGGAAATAATTGAATTTAATTTTTTTTTTAATTTTATTTTTTATTTTATTGCCTTTATTTTATAGTGGGCGGAGTGTTACCAATTTGCTACTCTTCCCACTCAACCCACTATACAATCACAAACAGCCATGCCTTACCTGGGATTCGAACCCAGGACCCTTGTAGCCAAAGTTAGAGCTTCTAACGTAAGCTCTTCTGAGCTACGCAGGTCTGTGAAAGAAATTAAAAAAAAAACGGTAAAATTATTAAAACTATTAAAAATTATTAATTAAAAGAATCCATAAAATAAGATTAGCGCCAAACCGTCCATCAATCCAAAAATAGAAGGACTGGAAATAATCCTATTAAAAAAACGCGAAAATTATCAGTACAGAAGCGTCGCGGATTAAATTAAAACCTATTAGGTGACGCATTGTAAAATACATCTACGAGGAAAACCGCTTTAGTGATAACGTGTGCGGAAGATCATTTTCGGTCACGGAATAAATATTACGAAAAGAATATTTAGAGCAGCTAGTAATATCGCGAACACAGAAGTTTTGTGGGCATGTGAATTAACCGGATGTTCTGGGTACTCATTCAGAAGGGATTATCGTAAAAACTCAATATCATAAACTGTCTTCGTAAAACAAGGGTACGTTCGAATTATTACGTAGAACTAAAAAAAAATTCTTAAAGTACGAGCGGACTTTTTCGGAAAATAAATTAGAAATTTATAATGAAAGTTCAGTCAATTAAGAAACTCCCAATTCGGAAGCGGAAGCTTCAAAAGACAAATTAAGCTAGAAAAGAAACGTGGCCACGGTATAGGGTTTACGTTTTTAGTACCTACTAGTTGTAAACGTAAAAAACTTAAATAAGGAAGACGTAAGAGAAAGTGGAGCTGGATCTATTTTTTTATTTTCGTCAATTATATACTAGATATGCTCAAAAATTTAAATTTGTATTTATTTGCTGCAGTCAATTCAGATTAAAGAGGATTCTCAAGTTTTGATTTTCAGGATTAAAAGAACGGGTCAATATCCATAAGGCCTTTGCTTCTTGAGCTAGCCGTCGGTCATCTGTTGGAAAAAAAATAATTAATATCGTAGGTCAATTTTAGCACGACCAAGGATTTCCAACCTCTGTATTGTAACAAAACGGTGCAAGTACACTAATTGTAAGAAAACGGAGTCAAAGACAACGACGATGAAGATGACCAACCGCAAATAAGCGTTACGGTCGCCCCTCCGGATACTAACCCTGACTACAATGAAACCTAGTCGTTCTGAAAGTGCGAAGTACTGAGAAGTTTTAGTAGTGTGTAAAGTTACAATGTGGACGGTATTTTATTTATAGAGTTGCCTTAAAATTAACTACATTAGCAATCGCTAGATGTCACTATCTAACAATATCAAAGCATTGTGCGTAACAACATTTACACTTCCCCTTCTTATCAGTAGTCATTTTTGTAGAAAATGATGATCGCTCTGCTTCACAGCACACATTCCGGTCACTTGTTGACCTGAGAATCTGCTTTCTAGACTGCTGTTCAAAACCTGAAAACTTAAAACCGTTCATCACCTTTCCTGTTATTCATTTCATACCGCTTTCATCAGTTTATCCCTTTTATCCCGTATCGTCCAACTACCTTTTCCTGCATCGTATAAAATCACCCTCAGTAGTATAGTCACACTGATCCAGGATCACTTTGACCCTGAGATCTGTACATGCGCTAAGTCCAAGGTCATTCGATTCGGTTGTTTGAAAGAGACCTATTTCTACTGAACAGAGCTGTTTCTATGGAACAGGTGTGGATTTAATTAACAGACCTGTTTCTGTTTAACTGATTTGGATTTAATATATTTTATTCAATGACGCTAAAGCCTACATAGTCTAATAACGACCCGAAGATGGATTTACTTTATATCCGAAATCTATCGCCTAAAAGAAAATCAAATTAAATATATTCAGCTCGTGTATATAATGTAATTTATTACATACCTACTTACCCTATATTGATATACTTAGTTATGAGGTAAAACTAATTCCAAGCGAATTTGGAACCTAGTCGTGCTTTGATGTTCGTTCAACCGTTTGGATTCTTTTGTAGTATCAAAAAACTCGCAAGTATTAAAGAATACCTAAAAAATGTCAGAGAACACCATAAATTAGTAGCCTTGAAATTAACTGATTTATAACAGTTAAAATATTATTTATCACTTACATATACACAATTTATAACAAGGCGAACAATTTATTATTTCGATTTTGAAATTGGAACTGCCCTGAAACGCAATTCGATTTGCTTATATAGTAAACTTGAGCGTTCTCGAGTGCTTCCGAACGCTTCCGAGTATTCTAGAATGTTCTCGAACAAACAAGTCAAGTTTCCCGGAAAAATTGTCTCACATCCGCCTTCGTTCTTTATCGACGATGACTAATCTTTTATTGCGCCTCAATGTCTATCGGCATTTATGGAATTAATTAATGATAATCATCTTTAAGTAGACAACTATCTCCCCTAAAACTCTTGGCCTTTTACTGCTGACCTCTGGTAGTCGTTTAAATTAACCCAGGCATTTTTACCGTTACCCTCTGTTTATTTGAATAAATAAAACTTTAACCTAGAAACGGTTTTTAATCACCTACCGCTTTTGCCCCTTCCCTTTAGTTACTTAACCTGCCGTATTTAGTCAGCACATTTCACTTTGCTTGTCAAGATGGCTGCGTCCATCTCGTTCATTTTTAATTTAACAATTGTTTATAATATGTGAGGGCAAAAAAGCCCTAAATTTGTTAATATTGTAATTGTAATTGTTTCCATGTTCGAATAAGTAATTTTTCCCGTAAGTAGAACTATTTTCTAGACTCGCTTTTAACACATGTTTTACAGCATATTATCAACCAAATGTTACCAATTAATATGTAATTTTCAACTACTTTTATATGTTCCTTCAAACTGAAGGTAGGTCACTTAAGGTTAGTCATTGTTTCAAATTATATAAATTATATAAATTTTCAGCTTGATAATGACCTCAGGGTCGAAACTATAGTCGCTGTGCTGTCACATAATGTCTGAATTTAACATCTGAAACAATTAAATGAAGTATGGGGAAGGTTTAGTGCTTTTATAATTTCCACTTTTTAATCACCTACCTTGACTGATGCGTGAAAAATTGCCAGAGCCCGTGAGTGTTTTAGAAAATTGATCAGAATTAATTACCAATTACTCTAATTACCTACCACTACTAATAATCGTAGTTCGCACACGGCAGTATATTCTGATATTCGAAACTTACGTACCGAAATAATATTTCCGATTAAATTACGCGAGGTATCCCATATCGATTACTTCCAATTTAAATAATTAGGTCTTTCGGCTACGTATTTTCGGTCTCTGGCGGAATAACTAAGTGAGAGCTTTTAAGGAAATGAGGGAAACGAAAGTTTTCTCGACAAGAAATTAAATTTTTTGCTCTTTCCAGATTCATTTCCCTTGATATGGTCCCGTTTTAATTCCAAATGTGTTGAGCATTTGCCGCCTAGTACAGCAATAATGAATAAAAAATAGCTTGGAGCGTTCAGCGAGCGAGCGATGGGCAAGTTCTCGGAGCTATCACAGCTTTGTAAATTCGTAGTCCTTTTTGGTCTGTTATTTATTTAGTACCCGTCTTGTTTGTCACCTTCAATAAGGGCGAACTTTAATGTAGAACTCCATCAGTGCTCATAAATTAGAGTGGAAATTTATGGGGTCGGTTTTCAGCGGTATTTCAAAGAGAAGTTGGTTCTGAAAATTGCATCAGTTACGTCAATGCATTTTCGATAGTTTGGTTAGTTATTCATTGGTGTTAATACAGTTGCTTGCTTCACATTGCCTCTTTCTTTTTATGGAAGTAGTCTAATGGCATTGTTCAGTTAATTGTTTGTTGGTATTTTTAAAATGTGATAAAACCTTCGATGATTTCATTTTTTTTTATTCTAAAGTTGTTATTTTTTGTAAGTTTAATGATATTCAACCTAGCCCTGTGCTGAGTTTGGATGTCATTAAGGGCTCTAGATCATAAAACAACATACTTTTGATCTTTATGTTATGCGTAAGACCTTTTTTTTACACGAAGCGTTACCAACTCTAATTGGAATACAGTTTGCTTAGTGGTTTGGTGATATGGATGTTCAGTTCTTTGGGGTAAGTACCAGTGCGTGTTTCTTCCTTTGTTTTAGACCCATACGTGAAGATGAATATGTTTGGTTAGGATGCTACATCCTCATCAAGAAAGATGTGATAGTTTTTCCCTAATAGGAATAAAATTGAGGGGAGACTGAGTCCGATCGAACTTCTAGATCAGGTAATCTCTTAATAGCCTCGCTACTCGAAAGTGGCCCACTTCAAAACCTCTGCTATTCAACAGCTCCTTATTCTTTAGACGAAAGGATGTCAGAGTGGCCTGCTCTCTCACATGGAGATCTAGCGGAGACAGACCCAGACGAACCTCCATGAAGGCTGTGGGAGTTGTTCGCATCACGCCCCTGCAAGCGAGGCATGCAAGTCTGTGCACATGGTTAAGAGGTGCTGGAACTCCTTCCTTTTTTCTCTTCTGGCAGGTGCATTGGGGGCAGCGCATTTAACGCAGCGTGGTTGGCGAGGAACATCCCCTGACAGCATTTCCGATCCGTTGGCATATGTGGCATTGGTCATTTCCTGACTTTCTATGTGGAGATTCGACATTTACTCGCAGGTAACCCAGATATTTTAAGTCAAAAAGTTCCTTGGCACGATAAGTCTTTTTCATTTGGACTATAAACATTGACGTGTTCCTTTTTTCTTTCCCGGAGGGCATGCGTATAATCTTCAAGGGTTCAAAGCTGAGAGCCCTGATGCACGTATTGAACTCGATACCAGTTGGTAACCGTAGGGATAGTCCCGAACGCAAGGTTTTCGCGGATCGGGGATCCACACCTACTGTAGCCAGTGCCGATAGGGCGTGTTGCTAGTGCAACTGATTGTGGAGAGTCATGGGAGGTACTTTTCCTTTAGACTCCATCTGTTTGGGCGGTTCCGAGGTTTCATCTTCCGTTTCGATTCCTTTTGATTTGCCTTGATAGGTTGGGAAGGAGTTTCACCAGCTGAGGAAGGGTGTGGAATGTGTGCACTAGGGAATCTGTTTTATGACCTCATCAATCATCTTCCTTGCTGCTCAAGCTAGATGGCTTGGCTGTTGAGAGGCTGCGTCTGAATGATAAGTTGCTGCTTAAGCTCGGCTTTTTCCTTTATAATCAAGCTGATGTCCGTAAACCTGCTACGATTGCATTGACGACTTGGAAGTTTTCGGCTGGTGGCACATGATTAAGGAGTGCTACGGTTGGGGTGGGTCTGGTTCTAGACCACCGGACAATTGATCCATAGCAGAGCATATATGTTTTATCACGGGAGTCTACAATAGGGATGTTACGGAAGTGGTTATATTCGAAATACTGAATTCGGAAGCGGAGTTTTTTAATTTGGTTTATCGGAACCGAAATCGGAGTCGGAACGGAAGTCGGAACCCGAATTGGAGTCAAAAGAGAGTTGTAGTAATGATAAAATCAAATGAAGTGACTCCAAAAGAAGCAAATAAAATTTAATGAACAAAACAACATGTGAAAGAGAAATGTACATAATTATACGGCGAGCGGGAGGTACCCCGCGCGACAAAAACAACGCCGCTGGTGTGCACCAACCTCCGATGTAACTTTCGAAAAAAATTTGTCGGAAACGAAATCGGAATCGAAAGTGCAAAGTGAATCGGAAGTTCCGAACTTGCGGAATCGGAATCGAACCTCCGTAACATCTCTAGTCTACATCCAGAATACCTCCAGGGATGGTACACCTTATTAGGGTCTTCCTGAAAAAAAATATTGTAACTTTTTTGTGTCTTACTGTAAAGTTTATAACCTGTAATTAAACATCTCATATACAAAACTTTTTTTTCTAATTGCAACATGTCAGGAAACAACATATAATACCGTAAAACTTTTAAATTTTGTCATGCAACCGACGACATGCCGATATTGACCGAGCGTCGCTTACGTCACTATGCAAGTTGCCGATCGGGAGTTATATTAGTGCATGACACTGATAGGAGTTCGATTCGACTTATTATGGCAATCTGCCATAAACTGAGTTCTGAGTGGTTCGTAAAGGGGCAGTTAGATAGTCTGCCAAAGGTTGAAGTGTTAATGGTCGCCGCCTTTTCTCGAAAAGTGAGTTTTTCCATGCCAGTCGTTTGAGTGGAGTCAAAGTCCAGAAGCAAATCTGTTATGGTTCATAGGAAGTATAATATCAAGTTTTGTGTGTATAGTGCAAGGTATAGTGTAGGTACCTAATAAAGTATGCACCTTACGGATTTCAACGAGAAAATTAGGGTGTTGGATATGTGGAAGTGAAAATAGAGAAAAATGTGTGCACTGATATGATATGCCCAGAACAGAGTTCGAAGTAAATCATATTCTGAATTGCAATTACAATATTACATATCGATGGATTTTCGTCGATAACTGACTGAAAGTAAATCGACATTATGTACTTTAATTAATTAGAATCGTCTTCACAATACAAATGGGATGTCAAACTCGCGGTATCACGTTGAACTATTTTCGTATATTTCCTGTTGGGACGTTTATATACAATTTATTAGGTTCGCGATGACTTCTGCTATCACACCCAGGCACAAATGCAATAATTATTCGACGCTTTTTTCCATCAAAACGACGTTTTCTTTCTCTGAATCGATTGTAAGCAATGCTACGGCTGAGCGCCAACGTGCGTAGTGACGTCACAGCAACGTGGCGGTCATTCGAAACTTTTCAAACGCCGTTCATTTTGAGCGGAAAAAAACGCTCATGAGCGGAAAAACCGCTCGCCGGCAGAAAAAAGCGCTCGAGCGCCGGGCACTTTAAGTGCACGCTCGAGTATCGAGCACTAAGCGGTCGCTCCGAAAAGTGCTCGCGAGCAGGTTGCTCGCAAGCGCTTTTTCCGTTTGAAGCGCTTTTTCGAGCGGAACGCTCGCGAGCAGTACCCAGCTCTGAATTAGCACCCCACCCAGGAGGCATCCTCTTGCTACTATGCACCCTAGTGTTTCTTTGGCAGCGCTCATGTGCCCTGCTCTGAGATTCAGCAGCTGCACAATCTCGCCTCGTACAACTTTCGTTATGCCGTGGTGGCGTAAAACCATTTCTATTGTTTTGATGGTTGTTTTGTGGAATGCCCTTTCTGTATCTAAATACTTCCAATGTGAACTCTTTATAGTCCAGCGATCTCTCAATCAGCGCTACGATCCAGCAGGGCTGACTCTGTACAACTTTTTGGAGAGTATGCGTATTAGTTAGTGCACAGCGGAAACCGTGTTAAGTGCCGTTTCCCTTAGATATCTATCGCACAGTCTTTTGAGTTTGGCGTAGCGTTTTAAGACTCGGACTCTAACCTCACAGGTTGTGGGTTTGAATCTCACAACTTGCCAGTTTTTAGTGGTACGTACAGACCATCTCCTGACTACCATGCATCGGAGGGCATGTAAAGCTGGCTGTCCTGGCGGTCATACCACGACCGTTGTTAAGTTATACAGACGGCTGTTGACCTGAAATCGTCTGTACCTGTACCTAAGGAGTGCCACCCATACGATATGATACGATACAAGAAAAGACATCAAACTGATTGGGCAATGTACTTTGGTGTACTTATTAATATGAACCATTTGCTAGACTTTTATTTAGGCCGGATGCAGAACTTCTGGTGTTGCTGTGGTGGTTGTACTGACGTACCCCCACATCAGGTTCGATAGGGTTACTAACCTTCACCTTTAGAGAGGAAAACCCATAACCGAATCTTTCACCCCTGGCGATTATGTTAGCCTGGTTGGTCCTTTTCCTCAATGACGAAAACTCAGCCCCCCCCCCCTTGATATTGATCATTCACTGGGGGTCGATTTTTGAAACCAGTCGCATCTATTCGTATACGCTTAGATGCGAAGACTTAAAAACGTATACGTTTTCCAAATGCAATTTTTGACTACTGTTCGACGCTAGATGCGCAAGAGCATACCGTTGTAAGTGTATCGTGGTTTGAGCTTATGTAGGTGGTGAGGTGAAGATATTGCTCAGTCATTTCAAATTAAAGAATAATAATATTTTAGGCACTGATTAGCATGAATACTCAAAACACGATGGACACGCCAAAGCGAGGGTGCAATACCACGCAAAACCAAAAAAGGTGGTATGTGGAGTTTGCTAAAAAACACTCCGATATAATAGCAGGGAAACAAACTGCGACTTTGACGTGCAAGAAAATGCAAGACTAATGGAAAGAAGTAGCTGATACCCTTAATAGCATGCCAGTTTCTTCAAAAAACAGGAAGCAATAGCGCAAGGTAAACAAATATTTACCTAAATTTTAGATGCATTTGTACATTTTATAGACGTGGCATGATTTACGGGCACGCACTAAGAATAAAGTTGCCAAACAACGAAATTACCAAAGGGGAACATAAATAAATAAATAAATAATGATAAATTGTGTTTCATTTAAGACTTCTATGGGGTTGCAAGGATTACGGTTCCTATTTGGGCGATAATTGCGCTCGGCATTCTCTAAATTGCCTATTACAAACACATTCACAGCTTCATCCATTGTTGTAAGTAGATACCTCTCAAGTCTCAAGAGTCAAAACTTCAACACTAACCACAAACGTCAGTTGGGAGCGTTTGCGAACGCCACTTACCCGCTCGCAGAAAAACGAACACAATTGAACGTATACGCAATATAAACGTATGGCCAAAAATTGCAAATATACGTTTCTTTACGAATACGTATACGTTTTAAGGAAACGTACGGTCAAAAATCGACTCCCTGCTGTGTGGAAGAGACACCAGCAGCAGCCTACCTTTGCCCAGGAATTCTGCACCTCCAAGAGCCGTTTGACCTCCGCCAGGTCGTCAGGTTCCCCCGGGGACCCTGCACTGTATTATCTTTAGGTGCCCTTTAATAGCCCATAGGAATGGTTGTCCTCGTTCAACATTCTTAGGAACTCGCCCGAGCACCTTCAACCCCCGAACGTGGATACTAGTGTGGCGACCTTTAGGGCGCACAGATGCGGGTCAAGAACCTTGACCAGGCTATTTTGTACCATATCCGCCTTGTTAGCCGTTAGCCTACCCAGAGGGTCATTGGTACCTATGATCAGGTAAAGTAAGTAAAGAAAAGTTAGAGAACAGGTAGAGAGCGGACAGAGAGCAGGTAGAGAACAGGTAAAGAGATGGTAGAAAGAATTATGCCGCAACCCGTTCAGTTCCGTATTGACGAAGATTTTTTATACCCCCCTGCAGATGTGTTTCTATCTTCCTGATGAAATCCTATACAGGGTCATTCTTGACGAGCGTCAGTTAGAAAGATATGGAAAACCTTTGAAAATGAAGATAAACTGATAAGTTCTTTAAGGGTTTTGGCACATGATTAATTGAACTAAAATATTTTCAAAATGGCGCCACTTCCGGAAATACCGGAAGTAGCCATCAACTTTGTTATTTTAAATAGGGGCCCCCTATTTTTTCTACGTTTTCGGATTCTACGTCGAATTTGGAGTACAACGATACCCCATAGTTGACTCTTTGCTCCAAGGGCTTCGCCGATATTCAAGTTTTTGTGTGAAAAATTGAATTTGCAGGGGTAACTTTAAAAATTTATTATTCGAAAACGGTGAGAGATATTGCAAAACGATTTTAAATGCTTTATTAAGGAAAGATCGAATTTTCTTATGGTATGCGTAACCGTCTAAAAAAGTGAGACTACGTCACTTTTTCAAAGCTCTCAACTTTTAAACTTTTAAATATCCGTAACTCCATTTTTTCAAATGGCACCCCCCATTTTGTTCTTCACCCTTGTTTTCCTTTTTCCCAGACCTTTAATTTGATGCAAAATTTCAAAAGCTGCTTCAAACGGTTTCCGAGATATTCCATGTTTTAGTTACTTCTTGTGGAAAGTTGATAAAAAAATTAAATCGCTTGATGTTATTCTTTTGTTTTTATTATGATAATGTTTAAACGTCAAATTTTCGCTGCTTTTTCCTGGCAGCTATTCGATTACATTCCCCGTGTATTAATATTAAATTCAAAAAATCTTCATTAGTGTAACCCAAACGAGCCATTATTGACGAGAAGTATAAGTTCAACCAGCAAAAATTTGACGTTTAAACATTATCATAATAAAAACAAAAGAATAACATCAAGCGATTTAATTTTTTTATCAACTTTCCACAAGAAGTAACTAAAACATGGAATATCTCGGAAACCGTTTGAAGCAGCTTTTGACATTTTGCATCAAATTAAAGGTCTGGGAAAAAGGAAAACAAGGGTGAAGAACAAAATGGGGGGTGCCATTTGAAAAAATGGAGTTACGGATATTTAAAAGTTTAAAAGTTGAGAGCTTTGAAAAAGTGACGTAGTCTCACTTTTTTAGACTCTTACGCATACCATAAGAAAATTCGATCTTTCCTTAATAAAGCATTGAAAACTATTTTGCAATATCTCTCACCGTTTTCGAATAATAAATTTTTAAAGTTATCCCTGCAAATTCAATTTTTGACACAAAAACTTGAATATCGGCGAAGCCCTTGGAGCAAAGGGTCAACTATGGGGTATCGTTGTACTCCAAATTCGACGTAGAATCCGAAAATGTAGAAAAAATAGGGGGTCCCTATTTAAAATAACAAAGTTGATGGCTACTTCCGGTATTTCCGGAAGTGGCGCCATTTTGAAAATATTTTAGTTCAATTCATCATGTGCCAAAACCTTTAAAGGACTTATCATTTCAGCTTAATTTTCAAAGGTTTTCCATATCTTTCTAACTGACGCTCGTCAAGAATGACCCTGTATAGACAGCGAATCGTCTCAAATTTGGGTTGCTATAATACCAGGTTCTTTAGTAGATCATCGTTCCGTATTAGGAATTGACTGCACTCCTTACAGCAATTGTTTGTAGATAGCCACCGAGTACATGAGTGAACTCGCCGACGTATTTGGTGTCCAGGTTGGCCGCAAGGGAAGAATTTTTTACGTGCCACTTACGGAAAGAGTTATACCAAAAAATGTGTTCTTTTCACTCCTCTCGGTTTTATACTTGGCTTATAAATCGTATGTTTTCACGCACAAAAGTTAAATGGAGTTCTTCCTAACAAATCATGTACCTACCTTTGAGGGCATTGAGGTTAAATCAAAGGTTTTCATTAAAATTCAAGTCATTAAATTATCTTGTAACTTATTCACTCAATCCCTCTCCAAACAAAAACTAAACCTATACCAAGAATTTTACAGATACCTATTACAAGAATTTCACTACAAAATAATTACAATTTATTCGGTGTTTCTGAGACTAATAACAGCAGTCAAACAAGGATACTCTGTAAAACATAAGGGAAAATCTATGCCTCCTTTACTAAGGTCCACAAGTCTCTGTGTATCGTATGTAAAAACCTTGGACGTAAACCTACAATGGTCATGTCTAAAAAAGACGGTTGCCTCAATTTTATCCGGTAAAACGCAGCGCAAGGTCCAATTACACTTATGTGGTTCGATAGCGCATTTAAAAACGACAGCTTCATTTCCTACACCCGTAAAATAGGACTTTTCAACGTAATCGGATGGAGACGAGTTTCTATCGAAGAGTTGAATGGTAATCGACTCGGGGTTCGGACAATATGTCGAATGCAACTTTAAGTGCTTAATGAAAGCTTCAAATTGGTTGTGTTTAAAAGACATTTTCTCGCAGGAGGTGTAAAATGGGCATATGTACTTCTTAAACGTGCACGTCTTAATATGATCAAAGACACTGTTTATGTCTCCCAAAAAGGTGCAGCCTCTCCAACGGCACGGATAATTATCGTTCCCATTCACCTCGTATGACTGTATCATGTCATCCTCTCGGCAAGATTCACAATACTGTAGGGAGATATCCTCGGAGGGATGGTACATTGGTGTCGATGTAATTGATTTGCACGCGTGGCAAAGGAAGTTCTCCAAATTGACAAACGCTTCACTTGGCTCCGATTGTTCTTCTTTTTCGTTACTGGAATGTCTAAGAGCCTTTAATTGAAGAGTTTGCATTTCAGAACCACTCCTTGTCGAGTACTCCACAAGAGACGTAAGTGATATTTTCAGAATTAATGATGGGGGATTTTCCAGAACAGCTAAGTACATCTCCAGGTCGATAACCGCACAGTTTGTCGAAGTGATTCCTTGGGTCTCGTATAATGTACAGGCTTGCTGAGAAAGGCTCAAACTATTATCGTAATTTGTACCGTTTATGAGCTGGAGTTGGTAATAGAGAGAGTCTTCATCACTGGATACATAGGCAACTTCCAAGTGCAAACGTCTTTCAACGTCGTCATACAAATATTTTACCACAACTGTGTTGTCGTCGTGAAGCATTAGGGCATTGTACCTTGTCTTCTCGTCTAAATGAATTTTAAATTGACCATCATTGCTGATTAAGTCTTTGTGGGCCTCTATAAAGTGGGTGTACAACTGGCAAGCAGGAATAGACTGAGTGCACGCTTTTTTTAGTACTGAAGGGCAAACTATTGGGCGATACTGACATTTTCGTTCATGCTCCAAACTCGAATTGAAACGAAGGCGATCAGTGCACCCTTCCTTGTCGTACCGACATGGAAATGTAAAATTTGACATCATCCGTTCGTAGCAAAGTTGCGAAACAGCATTTGGTTCAGTTTCATGGCAGCGTCCACAAATGAAGTTACCATTTAGCTCCTTAACTGACTGGGCCACATGATATGTACCCTTCGCATGCCGAGCATAGAGAAGCGTTTGCAATTTCATCGGGTAAATCGGATAGCAGTTCAGTAGAATCCATTGCAATTAAAAACTAAAACTTCAAAATAATAAATGTTGCTGGAAATTTAGAAACTTACTTCAATGTATGGAAATGACGCGTTAAAAATTCGCGAAACAATAATTGTTTGTAAATAAAACAAAAACGGGTAGATACTTCGATCAGAAAAATGAATATATTTTGTGTCTACTACAATTTTTACCACCCGCACGTTAGTATCGAAGGGATTGTATGGGGGTAAAAAATGACCCCCCACTTTTTTAACGGATATACACGTTTTGAAGCACCAGGAATACGAATCAAACAAAATTTCGATGATGTCGATCGGTCTGTCTGTACTCTCATTTCCGCCTAAACCAAATTTGGTACACATAGGTGGAAAAGCTGAAAACTTTATACTATCTGAATTTTCTTCATGTTACTATGGTACCATGAAAAACTTCCTGACAACTGAGAACACATCTTTTAATAGTTATTAGTAACATCATGAATAGAATTCAGCTACAGTACAGTTACAAGTTCTTGAATTTTAAGGGTGGCTGGCAAGGGATTGCGACGGTGTAAAATGTCTGACAATAGAAGACGTGATTACTTAATTACGCCTTATAATTTGCCGTAAGTAGGTTGGTATTTCTACATTTTTGATACCTGCTATTGCCAAAGCTACGATGACCCAAAGTAGATAGTATTCGCATCGTACCTACGTGTGTTGGAAGCATGCACTGAGAAACCTTAAGCTTTTGGAAAATAATTTAGGTCTAGATTATTTAGTATGAAGGATCGGAAAACTATTACCTACAACTACACTTTATCATTGACGTCTGTGAACTGTAACAATGTTTCGCAGTGATCTTAGAGGTCCCAGATTCGACACTGCAATTTTGACGTACCCTATACACACCAAATTTGGGAAAAAATACAAGCAGCGACATCTAAAGTGGCAGTATTCAGGGCCGGTTGGCTACGGAAACGCGAACTGGTAAAGGGGGCTAGGGATAGAGGATAGGCAACACACAATGGTCACTGAAATTTGCAATAAAAGTCGAAACTTTTGAGTAATTTTTGAAGCCCAAATATTAATTCTAACTAGAGGTCTTATCGGAAATTGATAGAGATATAGAAAGTCATTAAATGTAGCGATTTATTTTTTTGATAAAATTATTTAAGTCGTGTATAAACGATAATCTTGAATTTACTAAGAACGCGAATACTGGCCTTAGTAAAAAAAATATTTAAAAAGTAAATCCGCACAATTTATTTAGTAACTAAGTGGATTAAAAAAATATATTACGAACTGCTTCAAATTATGAAATAAAACGTAATTTTTACTCAAAAGTTTATATAAAATATAGCGACGGAAGAAATGCAATACCTTCCATACAATGACGATAGGCAACTCAGGTAGCACTTTTACCTGGAAAATATTAACACCTAATGACCATTATACTTATATACAATGGTTTATGACCCTATTAGACCAGTAACAAAAGAATCTCAATGCCTTCCATTTATTCGTCTATTAGTACCAACGATAATTGACCGATAATTAAAAAAATATTGTACATCAATAAATGTAATATTGAGGAGTAACAACGTTTTAATTTTTTAGACCCGTTTCATACATTTTTTTCATACATTTGATGTAGGTGTATTGTTACCTACTTATCAAAAAGCAATTTAATAATATCGATTACATAAAAATTATGTACAATTTGGACGATGTACCTATAATAGATAAACATAAAGAATTGTTTGTTGTCGGCACCTTCTTGAATCTAGCAGCTCTGTTAAAAAACTGTTCATACAAAAATTGATAATCTTGTGTCTTACATACTTTAGGTGACAAATCTCAACGAAAATTTAAACCAGCAATTTTGTCGACCAATGAGACCAATGGCACCAGTGAAAATGACGCGAAATTGTGTCTGTATTAACCGGAACATTCTTCTAGTTTGTTTAAATCAATTTTCGACAAACCGATTTATCACCACATTTCTTTTAATTTTAATCACTCATTAACGAATTAGCTTGGAGCACAAAGTTCGAATAGAATCAATCAGCAAAATAAAAAAGCAACTTCCATAATTATTTGACGGTATTGTGTGTCATGGAAAATTACATCGCAGTGCACGGTAAATATGCTTAATTTTTCTTTTGATCATTTGAATAGTCCTCCGAAATACCTTCGTAGTCGAAGTATTTGTAGTTTAGGTAATGAAAATTCTGTTGCCTTTTTAGCAATGAAAACTCAGGAAAAACTGGTCAACTAATAAAAAATCTTGCGACACCGCATGTCGTCTAATTGCTAGGCAACAGATTTTCATTACCTTAACAACCCAAATTTATTCGGTAAAATACAAACCTCTTGTGCAATTATAAGTGAAAAATGAGTCATTTATTTTGTTGTAAATTAGATCAGAATTCAGATATATAATTTGATAAATGGGGGAAGGTTGAAATAGCAGCAAATACCGAGCTACATTGCGGAAGCCATGCGAAATATCGAAAACTGTTCATCTAATTGAAGAAAAGTACTATTCTTACATCCGCGCACCTGTGAAAATCGTTATCATATAAATTTAGAAATCTATGGGGCCGTAGTTTGATCGGATGTGATAATTGTTTAAATAAATTTGTGCTATGAACCACAAAAATTGAAGACCAGTTGTTCTTGTTTCGGAAATTGTTCCCTTCATTACCCAAGTCCAAATCTCAAAAGTCATTATTGTAAATCCCTATATAGGAAGTAAGTAGGAATGATATCTTAGAAAGTAATACATTAGTAATATTTTTATATAGGTATGTAGAGCTCTCAGCTTTGATTTCCTATTCTATATTCAAAGGTTTCCAGTATTAGTAAAACTGTAAAACATCAGCAGAAAGTTGAAATTCCATAAATCAGTTACTTTTGTTGAATAGCCGCTAATGAGGGTCTGGAATCTTGTTTTATTGTAGGAAGATGAGGTCATTTGCAGGTAGCTTATGCCTGGTGAAACTTGTCGAATTGCACGATTGGTTGCCTATATAATTATTTGCGTAGGCGCAGCTTAAATTTTGAATGGCCTGTCCCTAGCCGCCTTAAGGACTGAAATGACTTGCAGTTTACAGAACTAAAATGTAAGGCTCAATTCTGGCCTCACTGACAGCTGCAGTAAACTTTTTACAACTATCCTAAACCAGCACAAATGGCTATAAAAAAATCCAGTTTATGTTCATGAAATGTTAAAACTAAAATATAAAGTAAAATACAAAGATTGAAGTAAAAGGAAATAAATAATCCTTTCAGCTAAGTTTAATATAATTGGCGTTAGCTGGTTGCATATTTAGGCAAACTACAAATAATTTCGCGCATAATTTAATGCTGCTTAAATTTAATTAATAATTGACTTTTTCCGGAAACATAATTTTGCAAAGGCTACAATATAGGTAAAACAAAGTAAGGAACATGAGCGCAACGCATATTAGAAAGGCTACGTGCAAATTATTATAATACATTCAATTCAATTAATCAATCCTAAATGAAAGGATATTACTTTGCAGTACTGTGAGATTCGAACTGCACATTTTTACTAACTGTATCTTATGATGGAGCTTCTAGCTCGACCTCCTTTAAAACCAAAATGTAGAATCAGATTAACCCATTAGAGACACACTCGAAATGTTTTTTTCTGTTATTGCATTAGTCGCATATCCGAACACTGCAGGTATGACCTATAAACATGATCAGTATTTAGGGGCATAGAAACCGTATAACACCAATACTGTTTGGTGTATATTAAATTGCACTAAATCGGTATAAAAATTTTTGAAAATATAAATTACTAAATTTTTACACTGGATACTTATTTAGCCGACGTACGTCATTTCTGGGTCGTTTATCCAACAGTTTTACGGTAAAGTTCAAAACTACGGTACCTACAAAACGTAGCTTGGCAAGATGCAAAAGGCAAAAACTCATAGTGCGTTTTCCTTATATAAAATTAACATAATACGGAGAGAAAAGAAGAACTAGGAAATTCCGAGAGGCTCGCGTACATAATATGGAACGCGTTCAAAATTAAAACTTGTTTCAGTTATCGGAAAAATATGGGATCGATATCAGACTTCAAGTTTTTTAAGTGCGCTTCTTTTGAGATTACTTTATACGCCGTCTGATAGTTTTTCTACAACTCAGTTATTAATTATTATGCTTCAATATGCGGTAATTCTGCCGCTTCAGGTTATATAACTAAGCGCAAAAGAAATCGTGCACTTGTATCCTTTTTATCAGAGCCAGACATACGTGTGTCTGGAAAACAATTAACTTTGTGCGATAACAACGTCGCTGTCGCAAAACGACCAGATGACACTTAAATGCATTCGACCAGATGTTCCTTAGTTTAAAATAATGCAATTTTCACATATTAAAATTTCAAAACAATAAACAAATTTACACGAATAATAAAATTTAAACAACAAATTATGCAATTAAAAACAATTTTATATAATCGAAAAATAGACACTAACATAAAAACGATGAAACAAACCAATTCGGTGCTTATTGACCATGAAACCAAATTATGCACGTTACAGTGTTGCCGGTTCTAAAAACCTTCGCTACGGATCATGAGGGGTTATACCTTCGCACGTATAAAAAACAGTGTCAACGCTTGATTTGCGTTGAGGGATTCGTATTTGGGATTCGGCGAGTACTTAAGTAAAAATCGGGTGGGAGAACGAGATTCCTACTTGAAAGATGCAGGTCGAGGGATTTTCGATCGCGTATTGAATTTTTAGCGAGACCTTCGAGGAAAACCTCCGTAACGTGAGCGCCGAAATTTGTAGATCGCGTAAAGGGAAATTCTGCACCAAAGTGCTCTCATTTAAATAAATTGCTACCACAAGACAATGCTCACCATATTCTTTGATAGCAGAGCAGTTGTCCATAAAGAATTCGTTCCACCTAGTCAAACAGTTACTAGTGATTATTATCTCAAAGTTTTGAATAATTTGATGGCGAGAATCGGTCTTAAAAATGATGTGTCGCACTGCGTTCACGAGTGCCGGACAGTAAAACAAATGAACCTCCATTTTGATAAAAGTGAACAATGAAAATAATTGATTAACTACTGAGTCTACAGAGACTTGTTATAACTAGACCGCGCGTA